GTCCTTTCCCACTGGGCAGCTTTCCAGCCACTCCTTCCCAAGCCTGTAGCGTTGCATGGGGTTGTTGTGACCCAAGTGCAGGACCTGGCATTTGGCCTTTTTGAACCTCATACAGTTGGCCTCGGCCCATCAATCCAGCCTGTCCAGATCCCTCTGCAGAGCCTTCCTACCATCGAGCAGATCGACACTCCCATCCAACTTGGTGTCATCTGCAAACTTACTGAGGGAGCACTCAATCCCCTCATCCAGATCATTGATAAAGATGTTACACAAGACCGGACCCAAAACTGAGCCCTGGGGAACACCACTTGTGACTGGCCGCCAGCTGGCTTTAACTCCATTCACCACCTCTCTCTGCGCTTGGCCACTCAGCCAGTTCTTTATCCAGCAAAGAGTACACCCATCCAAACCATTGGCAGCCAGTTTCTCCAGGAGGATGCTGTGGGGAACAGTGTCAAGGGCCTTACTAAAGTCCAGGTAGATGACATCCACCACCTTACCTTCATCCAGGAGGTGGGTCACCTTTCATAGAAAGAGATCAGGTTGGTCAAGCAAGATCAGGTTGGTCAAGCATCCCATAACACAATAACACAAGAAAGTTCAGTAAGTGCTGGAACCAAACCTGTTGCCTGCCAACTCAATGATGAAACCATCACTTGCCATCAGACTACCTCCAGTTTGCTGGCTTTCCTTCACTGGAGTTACAGGTCTCAAGACAGTCACCTGTAGGGGAGGAAGAGGGGAAGGAAGCCTGCTGTCCCAAAGATTATATTCATCAGTTTGACAAGAAGGAAGACTGTGTTCAAGAATTACACTGACTAAACCTAAAACACATAATGTCTTATACGGCAAAAAGTAATCAAACGAAAACCTCACCACATTTCTACATTCTACCTGTCAAACGCCACCTTATTAGTTCAGTGTCCTCTTCTTCTAATATACTCATTACCAACCATGAACTATCTAGAAGCTTCACTGAAGTCTGAAGTAACAATTAGAAACCCAGAATAAGTCCAAATGACAAGAAGCTGCAACTCTGAAGAGGAGGATGTTGGGGGTGTTAATGAAAAAGGAGAAAGGAGAACAATCAGAAGTACTCTTGGTGAACCAGAACGCACTAACACTAAGCCTTGCCAAAAAGCCGGTCCACACACCAGTTTCTGAACTGATATATGAAAAAACTTCTACATGAAAGTAAGCACAATCCAAGCAGCTGAACAAAAGTAGTACTGCCTTCCACCAGCCCCACTCTTCCTTCCACTCCACATTACACCTCCTAAAGTTAAGCTCTGTCCTCCCACTTCACTGCAGTCTTCATTTTCTTCCCTCCTTCTAGGTACATACTGCATAGTTTCTGCTCAGAGCATACACAGGCATACTAAGCAAGAAGGCATAAATGTTGTTTATTGCTAGGCTGTATACTGTATGTTGCGGTAGGATGACAGGCCTATTTTGTTCCAATTCCTAATTTTATCTGGGCACAACTCGCTATTTGTGAAAAAAATATGGTTTTAGTTATTTTCTGTCATGGCTCCCAGAGGCTTCTAAGCATGGGCACCTATAAATAAAAACTTATTATTGTTTCTTATTGTGTCCTTGAGAAGGGAAAACAAAAGGCAGAAGGAAACAAAACATGAAACTAAACACAAGAGTGATTAAAAAAAACAAACTTTGTCATAAATATTTTGTGTGTCTATAAAGGAAACGAAATCCCTCTTCTCTGGTTAACTAAGTTTATTTCTCCAAGCTTCTTGCTTGCAATGCTCTATTATTCAGAAGTATCAAAGAGCCCTTTTAAGCTACCTGTTCTGATTTATTATAATCTAGCCACACAAACATCTAGAAAGCACCCGCTTTGCCTATAAAGGTACACTGGAAAAAGCAATCAATCTCCAAAATCTTGTGTCTTTGTCAAGCACAAAGCAGCATAAAATCTATGACTGCATCTCAGGGAGAGCAAAGATTTGTGTGTCTCTTCCTGGTGACATTGCTATTGCTCCTGTTGAAGCCAACAGCACATGAATCACAGAACCACAGGGGGATCAGCTACAGCAGACACAATTTATATTTATTTTCAGCTGAGAGATGTGAAGGTCCCATTCTTGAATTATTTCTAGTTTTTAATCAATGGGTGTTTAACGCAAAATACAAGAAAGTTCAGTGGCTAAGTCCTGGAACCAAACCTGCTGCCTGCCAATTGAATGACAAAACCATCACTTGCCATCAGGCTACCTTCATTTTGCTGGCTTTCCTTTGCTGGAGTTACAGGTCCCAAGGCAGTCACCTGTGGGGGGGAAGGAGGGAAAGGAAGCCTGCTGTCTCAAAGATTATATATTCTTGTTTGACAAGAAAGAAGAATGGGTTTAAGAATTTTACTTTGACTAAATGCCAAGGTGTAGAAAGGTAATTCCCCTTCTAACTACAGATTGTTACTGTGGCATCAAGTGAAAATTGAAAGTACATTTTGAAAACAATGTCTCCAGCAAGACAGTAGACAAATAGGACACAGATAAGAGACTGCAGTGCAAACCTAATAACACTTCTTTGATTCGTTTGGCATACTAATAGGTATTTCCTCTCAGCACATATAAAAACCACTACATGGACAGTTATTAAGCCTGAAGTGATTTCAAAGGCCACATAGAAACTGCACAAAATCCTACTCTATAATATTTCCACCCTAATAATTATTGTATTATCCCTTACTCCAAATTTGTTTGTAATAACTTTCTTCTTTTTTTTTGCATCAGTGATCTTTTCCTTAACTTGTTGAAATTGATGAGTTTAAGACCACTTGTACTAACCCTCCACTAGCCTCACAGTTTAATAGGCAAACATTCTGTTTCAGTATGAAAACCAATTAAAGCAGGTACTGAGTGTTTTCATGAGGTGAATCATCCTACTTAAACCAATCACTATTAACAGGTATGTTTGCTATCTTATTGCTGAGAACACTAAAAAAACCCAACCCAAAACCAACAAAACAAACCATAAAAAACCCAACAAACAAACAAAACAAACAAAATCACCACCCCCGCCTTCCAGTTTACTGTACATTAAACTGTAGAGAAAACATATTTCTGCTTTGCACATCCACCTAAACTTGCACAAATTACATCAGGTGCATATGTGCAAACACAAATGCAACTTTAGGTTTGCTGTAAAGCACTCAAAGTTATTTATTTGGCACTGCTTTCCACTCTTGAGAAATTAGCTTTATTTACTGCTGCCCATTCCTCACCCTCCCCCCCAACAATTGCCTGGAGTTAAACACTATATCCTGCCTCATGAACTCAGGCACTTACGGCTTGAGTTAGATTCACCTATTGATCCTGCCCATTCAAGCGAACAATTCTATTAAATTTAGTGGGCCTCACTCTGCAGTAGTCTTCAAACAAATAATGAGCACATCAATAAGTGGACATAAATTAGCTATTTAACAAATACATATATATGGGTATTTCAGTGTAATTTATAATTTTATACTTCAAAACATTTGCAAATTTTTTTTTTACTCTTTGTTACATACTCCCTCACTTGCTGCTGAAGTCAGTTTAGACTTTTTACCTAGGTTTCAAGAATGTTCTGATCATTGCCTTAAATCAAGCATTGCCAAATTAAAATCCAACAAACATTCAAATACTAACACTCACTTCTAAAATAAAAATTTGCTCATCGATCATGGGTTACAAAACCATTTTGCAGGAAGATGTGTATTGATTGCTGAACCCATGGGGACTCATGACGAGCTCCCAGGACCACTGACATTGAAGCAGCAGCTTCTCACACAATCATATCACTTCAGCTCCAAGGAACTCCAAGGAACTGGTCCAAATGTATGTGTGGCAGGAGGCAAAAAGCAAGAGACAAGCAGTAGAAGGGAGAATTCACAGAAGGCTAATTTTAGAGTCCTCTGGAAAGACTTAGCAAAGCGCCAAAACTAGGCTTCTGCATTGAATCTCCCACTACAGTCACTTGTTCTCCACAAACTATAGAGAACACAGAACGGCAAATACCCCTCTCCCCCTGTTTTAACCACAGAACTTGATGGTTAAAAGCCATTGATGATACAACTTTCTCATGTAGCATAAGAAAACATAGTACATTATTAAAACAAAAGTAAATTAACAACATACTTTTCATGGTCCCATCTTCCTCTTCATCATCATCACTATTTATTACCATGGTCCCCAAGTCCGATTCTAACATAGTACTGTTGTGTTCAATCATTGTCTGAGCACCTTCACTCATCGTGCTTGTGGCCCTCATTGTACCAGCACTCTCCGAACTGGTCTTCACCATCGTGTGAGAATCCAGCTCATCTTCATCCTATGAAGAAACATTTTTCAGAATGCAGCAGATTATTTTAAAAAGCAAAGTTAAGAAGCAATCCTTTTGATGCTTATTCATTAGTTTTCTATCTTCACGTGACCTAGTTGCACTGCTAGACTTCCAGACTTAAAACTTTAAAAGAAACTACAACATAAAAAACATTCCATATAAAAGAATAAAAACTTTCTTCTTTCTCACAGATGTACAGCAGGATGGATATACCAGAAACGTGGCCCACACTCCCACTTTGCATCAGCAGCCAGTTTTGAGTACCTCGCTGATTTTCACTACCCATTATACCTCCTCAGGTTCCAAAATCAGTACTACTTTTTATAGCAAGCAATTTGGTTGTTTTGCAATGGACAATCACCAAGGATTTGTGCTGATCACCCTGAACCAAATATCATACCCAGCATCTTACATTATGCACAGCACCCAGACGACAAAACCCCACTGAATTTAAGTATTAAACAATCCTCCAAAATAGTTTCAGAAGTCCACCTCAGAATCAGAAAATCAACTTGGCTTACATCAAGTATTCAGTTCTCTTTAGAAAACCTCTGTCACAAGAGTGAGCAAAGGAAGCTGTTAATACTACATAGAAAGGTATCTGCAAAGCACACACTTTACCCACCTACCACTAAGGGGGGGGGGGGGGTAATATTACAAAGAGATACAATAGCATTTTGTATCAGTGACAATAATGGGCCAGGAATGTGAAACAGACAACTAGTGACAATCCAGTTACTGAATTACAGAATTCATATGGAATATTAATATTTGAAAACATTAATGTGAAACCCCACTCCTTTCCAAAGTCTGATTTAGATTATATGCACAACATCACAGCATTTCAAGAATAATGTGAAGGACTATAAACATTTTCTATATGAGTAAAATCTTTCACCAGGGATGGGGGGAAGAGAAACAAAAACAAACAAACAAACAAAACCCCACACAAAAAAAGAAAAAAAAACCACCCAAGCTCCCAAACCTTGCAAAGTCTGGCACTTTCTGTTTTTTACTGAACTTGTTCCTTTCCTTTCTTGTTAATCTCTGACACTGCAGACAATTTGTCTCTAATACAGACATAAGTGCACGACCCAGCTACATCGACCAAGTGCCTGTTTCTCTAATGGTTGGTCTAAGCAGATACTGACAACTGCAGTTAGTAGCAACACCAATACACCAGCTCCTGAAAATTATTCTATTACATCTCAGCTAACAGACACAAAAATAGATCTAATTGTGACTCAGAGAGTCTGGCTAACAGCACAACGTACTGAAACAGGAGAGAGATCTAAATCGGTGATCAGAATTTCAAATGTCAAAAGAATAATTCTTTTCCAGATTACAATTTGTAAAAATATTGAAGTTGTTCAGTTGCGTTCTTTCTGGGTTTTTAGTTGCATTCTAAAGCAATTCTAAAGCCCTTAATTTAGTATTGTACCCTTAAAAAAAAAATATATATATATATATATTCCCAAAGACACATACAGTTTACAGCTACAGCATTAGAGGACTGTGCCAGTAAATAAATGAGACTATTTTAGCACTGCTCCTCCTGGTGGCAACTTTAATTTTCTTTACTTCCCCCCTCCCCCGACCCCGCAGCGTTCTTGCTAGCCCCAGGGCTTTTTATATTTTTCCCTTTCTAACAAGGGTACTCAGAAAGTAAAGTCCAAAAGTGCCTTTTTGCATTGCATTTTAAAAGTGCCAGAACAATTCAGTTGTTATTTCCAATACAATGCAAAACTGACTCACAACATACTGCTATTTCTCCTACTAAGTGCTACAAATGTGGTGTCTCTTACATACAGGCAAGAAAACCTCTGAGTCTCAGGCACAGTTACATTTGATTTACATATTTGCTTGACTAGTATTAATACCCACATGCAGTGCTTACTAAAATTGAAATCAGAAATGAAACAAACATTTTTCTGAGGTTTAAAAGTTTTACTCTAGAAGTTAGTGAAAAAAAGTGTCAGCTAACAATAAGAACAAGTACACAATTGAGTCCTAACTGACAATCTTCATATCGTCTGCTTCATTAAAAAATGGATATTTTATTTCTTCAGACATACCAAGTATCTGGATTTGTTCCAAAGAACAGCATTTCATCTTCCAGTCTAAGTGTCAAAAGCCTTTATCTTACTCGTGTCTCTCAGCAAAGAGAACAGTTATGTTGTGGTATCTAGATGACTAACGATCACAAAAGCCCACCTCAGTACTAACAGAAGAATTGTCCCAAAAAGGGAAGTACATGACAATTTTCATCAGTAGCATTTTCCCTAGATCAGAAATGTACTGAGGGAGAGCAATACAAAATTTTTTCAGGGCCTGTGCATGCCCCAAAATAATTAATTTTGTGGGTTAAGCCAGATTGCTTCCAGAACTACCATTCCAGTATTTCTCACAAATAGGAGATTTAGCTAATACAGCAGTAGACTGCACTGGATCTGAAAAAGTAACTTTCTAAAAACATCCAGTGGATCAAAGCTATGTAAGTGCACATTTACACAAGATGAAAGTGATTCCTTTGTACAAATTCCGATTCATGCTTTACAGTTCATAAATATTGATGTGGAACTTCTGATCTGTTGTTAAAAATGGTAAACCTCACTGATTAAATAAAAACAAACACAATCTCCATTTTAACCAGGAAAAAAAATATAAGATATTAAAGCTGAAGTGTCATGTTCTCATACTGTTTATGAAAATAGATCCAGGAATCAAGCAATAAAACCAGCTAACTCTGAAATTAAACTATCTGCCGTTCTCCTGTGTACAAGTAACAAGCACCAAACTTCTGTTTGACAGCCATTTCTGATGCACCAGTAGACAGCAACAGACAGAGTGCATGAGCGAGAGTGCAAATCTCTCTTGAAATGCTGCAGAAAATACAATAAACTACAGAAACTCTCAACAACATTACAGCATGAAGTAAGTACAAGTAAAATACAGCCAATAACCTGCAACCCTATGGGACTAGCTGTTTGGATCTCCTTATTTACCAAAATAAGTTAGAAGATTAACAAAACCAACCCTGAAAGTATGAAAATGCAATCACAAGAGGCTTGGTTATCGGGATAGCCAACTCAAAAAGACTTCAGCAGAAACAACATGTAAGACTTCACAATACGCTCGTAACATAACAGATCTCTTCATCACGTGAGAAGTTTTCTCCGAAAAGATGGCCTTGTACATCATACCTAAGTCTACATCACGACAGAGGCGAATGAGCTGAGGTGATAAAGATTAAGGGATTTTTCTGTTGCATTTTTAACCTTCGTAGGGAAAAAAGGGATGAAGACTGATAAAGCAAAAACTAAACAAGACAAGTGAATATCGCAGCTTGCCTTCCAAAGCTCTTTAACTATGGTTTGTGCATGGAAAAACAACACTAGAGGGCACCAGAGACAGCCAACTGGGCTGCAATGCGTTAAAGGAAGATTTACATGCTGGCAGAATTTAGTATCCTGTAAAATAATTTCATTTACTATTAACACCTCATCATCACCTTTGAAAAACGTGTCTGTAGTCACAGCTATCTTTTTGTAAACGCCCTGTAGTAGCTACATAAACACATAATATAGTTTGGTCAAGAACAAGGATTTTGTAAAGTTCTAACAAGTACAAAGCTTGACTACAACCCCAGAATATGCTTAATACTAAGCACACATTGAAGCTCAGACCCATCCGCAAAACAGGCAGAGACTTCTCTTTCAGCGCACACTCAGAGCCTGTGAAATTCAACAGACGTATGTCACGAAACAGCGTTTATGCTTGTTTTCTGCCTCCTTCCAGCTGATATCCTAGTAACGACGACTGGCTATTCACAACTACCTGCCTATGTTTACTCTTCCTGCAATCACTTTCTGGCTCTCAATTTCTGTGGATTTCACCAATATGCTCTTAAAAAGCTGTTTATGCCCCTTGGGTAGCTATATTTCACTCGACAAGGTCATCTTTAGACATCTCTAACTTCAGGACACTTAAAGGACTGCAATCAAACTTAATTAGCACATGTCAAGTGTTCTTTAGCTTAAAGGAAAACTGCTATGAAAACAAAATTTTAACACATACATATATCATATACATACATGTATCATATACACAGACACATACATATATCATATACACACAAACACACAAAAGATGCATGAAAGTAAATATAAAAACCTTCAGAAAAATACAGGCTAGTGTATCAGATTTAAAACACAGAACAACTTGAATGACTCACTAGTTCCTTTAAAGTAACTGTATAAATATTGAAAAAATATAAAGGAATATTTATAGTAATTATTTCTTAAGGTCTCAAAAGACAGATGCCAACTTCTCATAATTAATATATGATTAACCAAAGAAACTTCTGTATAAAAGAATAAATAAGCCTACATATAAGAATAATTGATTATTGATGATTGGCTAAGTTGTTGACAGTTGTCAACCACTAAGTGTCTAAGAAAAGCAAAAAATGAGTACTGAAGTAGTAATACCTTGTTTGAATATTCTAAAATAATTAAGCATTCCTCACATAATAGAGACATTAAAATGTAAAAGAAAACATACAGGAAGAGCTGCTTGTTAGCTCATTCTTTTAAAGACCCATAGAAATAAATATTTAGACATGTTTCCTGCGAGCTGCCAGGCAACGAGTTACTTTACATTCCCATAATACATCTGCCCAGCCTCAGCATCCAATTCACATCACACTTCAAAAAATGCACGAAAGAAGAGATTGGTCATGTTTAGTAATGCCTAAACCAATATTTAAACTTTGATATGGGTATTAACCTTCTGTAGAATACACCACTTGCAATTTTTGCTTAATTAAAAAAATCTGTACAGTTACCTCAGCACCTATCAAAACACGTCAGTTTGTCAGAATGCATTCTCATCACACGAGCAGCTCTCGTAATAGGCATAAAATCAATTCAGAGTGCACTATTTATAATGCTATTATATCTCTCTGGAAGGATACAGACACGAAGACT